TAATCTTAGAAAATTGTTTTACTTTATTTTTTATTTTATGCCCCTTTATCTTAAAGTCCAAAACTAATAATCGATGTTGGGTACATAAATTTTCACTCGGAATAACTTTACAATCTTTGCAATCTAAACGATTTAATTTTCTAATAAGAAAATAGTTAATCTGGGTTGTATTATATCTATTTTTATAAGTGATGAGATGCTCATTCCTTTTCTTAAATAAGGTATTAGCAATTAAAAAATCATAAGCTAAACAAATATCCAATATGGTCTTGCCACCTTCATTCGTCGTTCCAAATCCATGGCCTCCATGAATGCTTTTAAAATCATCTATCTCTCTACCAATATGTTCATTTAAATCTCCTCCAATAAAAACTCTTTCTTCGGTATCTTTTGTATTAATTCTTCTAAGTCATTCCAAAATTTTAATTTAGAACTCATATCCAAACCTACTTGAGGAGCATAAGCACTTATAATATTAACAATCTTATCATCAACAACAATCTTTAAAGCTATAATTATATTTTCAATTCTGTTAATTTTTATAACATTATCCTTCAAACTCTTATCTATAATCACATCTACACCATTTATAGTACGACTCTTATCTGAATACCATAATTTATATCCTAAACTATTAATTTCTTTAGCCTTCTTCCCAACCCATTTAGTTTCTTGAATGCACAAAATATTTATCTTCCTATGAATCATAATATTTATTAATTTCATTAATTTTTTTGTAAGGAGCCTATATTCCAAGTTTTTATCCGAATTTTAGTTTCATGGACTAGCTTCTTTGTCCACATCCATCCTTGATGTGGGAACCCATGCCTATTTAACACTGCACACAAGCGCCGGTGCAACAACCCTTGCACACTTGTCGCTGTATTTAGGCCATACAATGCGTTGCTTTCAAGGGACGCCCTAGCAATAGTCAACTAAAAGAAATAACATATAAATTCAAGCTCATAAAAAATCACACATTTAATTAAAAATTCACACCACAATAAAAAAATTCAATTTATATAAGTTTTTATTTAATAAATTGATAAATCGTTAACTTCAGAATAAAAATAAGCAAGAAAGGAGATCACAAAATAAAAGATTCAAGTTTAATGCACATATAAGAAGATGACTTTCCCTCTAATTTTCAAAGACTAGAAGAAATAAAATTCAACCAAAAAGTCATTCAATTAAAGTAAGATTTATTTTACATGGCTTAGATACCCCATATTTATAAACATAGAACTTTGCCTAAAAAAAGATCAGAACAAAGTCAACAACCCCAATAAAAAAAGCCTAGGTCCCTAAAATATTGCAACAAATAAACAAATCCATGGCAAAATAACTAAAACTATAGTACCTGATTGCATATTTTTCCCCTATGTAGGAATAGTGATGAATTTATTTGTTACAAACCCAGCACAAGATTACCAAATGAGTACCAAATCTACATGTAGTTCGCTAAAATTAGCCCCTTGCACATTCTCGAAACGCTAAATAAAGAACTAACACTTAGCAATATTTTGAGCACCTAAGCTTTAATACCAATTTTTTATAATATGTAATGATCTTTCCCTCAAATGAATATCAGAATAATTTTATATTTAAAATTGCTAAGAAAGGCAGTCAAAGAATAGCAATATACCTTAGAAGGATGAGGGAACAATGCTGCCCCAGAAGACAGTGAAAATTGTGGCACTGAAGCAACCTCAATCCTGGCTTGTAAAATAAAAACAAAGGTTATTAGAAATTCAATGACAAGAAAACCAGATAGGATACCGCAAAAAGAATAAGAAGAATAAAGTAGCAACCATTCTAACAAAAGCTTTGTTAAGAAGAAAAGAATTTTCCATTGGAGTGCAGGAACATGAAGAAAGAATCTTGCAATAAATTCATTAAAGCCAGTTCGCAAAGATAAAATCTCTTCTGTACTATCTAGCAAGTATTTTCTGTTACTTTCTAGAGTTGAGAATCTAAGACTTAATCAAGGAGGATATTGTGAAAGCTAACAATGCCACTTTCTTTAAAACAATATTCCAGCTGCATATTACCTATCTAGCAATAGTGAATCAAGGTGATTAATGGATTCATAAAATTTGGAATTAATGGGAAGCAAAGTGTTAAAAGATCAATGAATGGTTAGTTCCATGCACAAGTAAAAATACCCATAGTTCTTGGCTACTTTCAATCGTTTCAAGAAGTCCCATGTCTGAACTTCGCAACATGAACTATCATTTTCATTATCGACCTTTCCTTTGACCATCAGGTTCTATTTAAATTTTCAAAATTCAATACCTATCAAAATTTAAATACTTACAATGACATTAATCAATTAAAATTTTAAGCAAAATTCATCGATCCCCATAGCTATTTGTCGAGGATGATGAATTAAAGAATAATTTTAGCTCACAAAGAGTAAATGTCCAGTCGAGAATATCACAAAGATTCATTCTCAAATAATCCACCACCAATATGTTATGATATGTTTCTTCTAATCGACGATTTAACCCAATGACAAATGACTACACAAGTAAACAGTTATGTAGGGGCCCTATGATCGGATGGTTTTGCTGTAGATAGACACCACTATATTACGGTCATCGATAAAGATTATATATTCGCCAATGTCTATCACCCTTGAATAATGAATCATTTGATAAACTTGATAGAGCACAAAGCCATTTATTGACTTGAAATTTATTCCTTAGCAAGTATTCATCCTAAATCTACGAGATAACCTTGGACAAAGCAACCTATGGCTACAAACAAGTATCATTCAATTAGGTTGGGTCGATTATCCCTTCTAACTAAGTAGACTAGGGACCATGCCAACTTCGGATGATGGAAACATGAGATTTTAATTGAGTTCATCATCATTCCCCACACCATTCACTTCAAGCATAAGGTGATAAATTTAAAATCCTAAAAATATAAATCTATTGCTGGTATTTGTTGAATATTAATTATTCATCTAATGACTAGCCTTAATCGAAAGTGTTCTCTCATCACCGAGAGGGGTAATTAACAACAAGGGCCCGCGGCTATAGGAAACCTAAACTTAGATCTTAAATTCTTTGCAAATGAGGCAAAATCCCTTAGAAGTATCTTATCTAGAACCTAATCTAACTTCCAAAAATTTACCCATAATTTAATTTGTTAAAACTCTACTTAAATCACGTGGATCGGACGCGACGCCAAATTTTTATAACCCACAAATGTTGCATTTCCAACTCCTTGCCCCAACAAGAATTCCTTCTTGGAGACTTCTTGGCACATTGCCCCAAAAGAGGGATGATTTGGGGGCTGATTTTAAGGGGATTAATCAGGAGATGTTTCCTAATTAAAGATGGCATATTTGGGGGCTGAATTGGAGGAGATTAATTAGGAGATATTTCCTAACTAAAGAGAGCAGATTTGGGGGCTGAATTGGAAGAGATAAATTAGGAAATATTTCCTAATTAAAGAGGGCTGATTTGAGAGGTAATTGGGGGAGGGGTATTTTGGAATTTGTTGTTTTATTGTTTGCTATAAGTAGTAGAATTTATGCTATATTTGTATACATAATTTGATTTGAGAGTGCTATAATTTTCTTTTGTGAGGGGTCCTAGCTGCGTCTAGGATTTGGGAGAGAAGGTCCTCCTCTCGAAAGAGGACCATTGTATATTGCTTTGTTCGTATTTGATTTTCTATTATGGGCTCCGAAAATCTACCGCCTAGCCTTACCTCTTTAAGGACAGTTTTAACGAATTAGGTTCCATGGTAAATTTTCAGAAGACATATTGGATTTGAAATAATACACTACCCAGAGATTCCACTCTCCTTTTGTGAGGACTTTAGATCTGAGTTTGGTTTCCTATAGGCGCAAGCCCCTATAGTTAATTACCCCTCCCAGTCACGAGAGAGAACTTTTGATTAAGGCTAGTCATCAAATGAATACATTATATGCGTAGATACATGATATCCGACAGATAGTAGCAGCATTGATTGATATTTAAGAGTTTGATATTTAAAATTGAAAATTTCACTATCATACACTTAAACCGGATGATGGGAGAATGGTGATGAGCCCGATTAAGATCCCATGATTTTGTCATTCCGAGCCATAATGATCCCTGGTCTACTTAGTCAAAGAAGGTAGTCGACCCAACCTGACAAAATGATCTTTGTCGGCAGCCATGGGTTGTGTCGTCCAAGGGTATATTATAGACCTGGGGTGAATATGTGTCTAAGAAGATAAATTTGAATCCACCTAAGCTGACAAAGGGCTTGTGCCCTGTCAATTATATCCTATTGATTGATATCTCAATGATTAATGTCATTGGGGTGCATACAGGTTCTGCCCATGATCATAATTTAGTGGTATCATTTGGGGACAAAATCGTTAGTTTGAGGATACGTGCCACGTAATTATTGATATGAGATAGATTGAGAATAAATCTTAGTGATATTCTCGATCAAACATTAACTCTTTATGAGCTGAAATATATTTTCAAACTTGTCCATCTCGACAAATTGTTGCAGAGGATGGGTATATTTGCTTTACATGTTTGGTAGTTTATTTCAATTTTAAATATTTTGATCTGGTATTTTTAGAATTTTGAATTTTGTGAGCATTTGGAAGGTATTTGAAGGTGTTTAGCCAGTTCTGGTTGATATAAACATTCAACACGGTCATCATCGGGATGACTTATAAGCTTTTTTATTATATTGATTGAACCATATCGACTTTGATTGCTGACAAAGGACCAGGTTCTTTGCAGGCTTTATACCTTTATTATTGAATTTTCATTGTTTATATGCCTTGAAAGTCTAATATTAATGTATTAAATAAATATCTCGGTCGACGCCGCGACCGTATACTTGTTTGATAGTTCAAGCCGTGACGACTCCTATTTACTCGCATTGAAGGATCGGACTCGAACTTGAGTTTATTATTTAACTTGCGCAGCATCCTCAAACGTCACATATGCACCTACAACATGCTTGTCGGAACCCATACATGTGTTTAGGAGATATTTAAAATATTTAATGTTGATCAGTTGCACGGGCGACTGTCATTTAAACATGTGCGGTGCTTTATTTGAGAGCTTATAGATGTCTTTTGTCCTCTTGTATGCCTATTGCGAGTTCGTTGGTGTGGCGCTGGGTTTCACTTAGGAATTTGTAAAGGTCTTATGCCCGCTTGCATGGATGTTACGGATCTGGTGGCATGGCGTCGTGTTGTGTTGGGTCTCATTTGAGCATTTGTAAATGCCTTTTGTTCACTTACATGGATGTTGTGGATCCGGTGGTATGGTGTCGTGCTGCGCTGTGTCTTATTTGGGCGTTTGTAAACGCCTTCTGTCTGCTTACATGGATGTTACGGATCCGATGGAGTGGAATTGCACTATGGGTTGCTCATTGCTTTATGCAGGTAGATTGTCGTACACTAACTAGTCTCCTATCATAACTTATAGGTGCTTGCATTTATTGTGCATCATATGTCTTCACTTGCAGGAGGGCAGTGTATTTATTTGACGCTTAATGGTGATTCATTGCAAAGGCGTCGCAGCATTCGTTGCCTCTTACTGCACAACTTGTATGCATCTGATCCTTCTATATTCGCGTCATAGGTGGCATGCTACGCACAAGAAGGATCTCCTACAGTAACTCATAGGTATCTGTATTTACTGCCTATCATCCATCTTCTTGGCGCATCTATCATAGGAGTCATAGATCGATGACTATGATTTGGAGTATTTATTTATGATTTATTTCATGTATTTCATTTTCTTATTTCATGTTATGTTAAGTCTTTCCCATTTTACCCTTATGTTGGGTTATTTGTGTTGTAGCTTAATGGGCGTTTAGTATTTAGAGTCTTCATGTTTTGAGGTCTATATATTGAGTTGAGGTCCTAGGCTATTGTATGGAGATGAGATTATTATGAATGAAACTTTAATTTTTCTGAGTTATGTGTGTATTTGAGTATTATTGAGAGAAGAGTGAAGTCCCTAGGATTAGGGCAAAGCAACACACAACAACCATCGCCGTGGCATCTCTCACGCCCATCCTCCTTCCAAACATCCCACCAAGCACTCCAACCCTTCCAAACAGCCAACCGAATATTTTAGCCCTTCCCAAGCAGCCAGTAGGCCTTCCCACCCTTCAAACAGTTAGGCGACCCCTTTCCTTCCCCTCCATACAACCAACTAAGCCTCCCACCCTCTTCCGAACAGCCGACCAAACTCCTACTTTCCCTTGGTTGGCCAGCCTTTTCCCTACCCTCTTGGTATTCCCTCCACCTTTTTTTCCTCCCAATCCTCATTAATTCCACTTAATTAAAGCTTTTCCCATTACCATAGTTGCTGACTTTTTTCCTTACCAACTGTCATTAACTCCACTTAATTAAAGTCTTTCCTATTCCCTAGTTGCCACCTTTTCCCCTTCACAGTCCCATTAACTCCACTAATTAAAGCCTTTCCCATTTCCATAGCTGCTGCCTTTTCCCCTTACCAACCCCCATTAATCTCCCATATTGTTGTCCACTCTCCCCTCCATAATTCCCAAAGCCATTGCCCACTCCCACACACTTATTTATCTCCAAGTAGCCACCCCTTTTTCCCTTCCTCCATGGATGGTTAATCCCAATTTGGATCATGGCTTCGTCTTTGATGATCAAGGCCCAGTAAATGTGCTTCATTCTCCTTTCTTCGACATTGAATTTGGGAACGACCGTACCATTGACCAACGTCAACCTCTCATTCAGTGAAAACTCTCCCACCGTCCACCTGTCACCTCTTTCCCGGATAATCATTCCTTGAACAAAACTTTAAGTGCTTGCTTCTTCTTAGTGGCATCATTAATATTGTGTCAAGTTTTCTCCGGCTGGAATTTCATTGTGACTGTTCAAGTTGTTAACTGTGGGAATTTTGTTAATTGCAAATAGGCATTTAGTATCTTTGTTGTTATTTTATTATTCTCCTACTCTATTTGCAACTGCATGCTATTGCTTGATCACCAACTAAAAAAATTCTAAAATCAGCTCTAGTGAAACTTTAATTTTATAATTGGTAAGCTTGTCAATCACCTAGTAATCTCAAGCAATTTTTGCATCTAATATATGTTCACATCACATATACCCTTTTTTACAAGTCTCTCCTCACTCTTTTTGGGCAACCCCTCTCTCTGGATGGTAAGACCATCATGCATTTTTTATATCTAGTAGAGTCAACTCATTGTCACTAGAACTTTTTGAAAGAAGATACCAAACTCTCTACCATCACATTGACATTTTTATTCATAGCTTTACCCCTCATGGGTACCTCGCACTTAACTAAACCCTTTGTGCTTAAACCTTTCATGTTAGAAGTGTTGTTTAGAACCCTTAATGTTGAATCAAGAACTGAGCTGAATATTCTTAATCGAGAGTGCTCCCGAATATGACATTTGGAGTACAATTAACCATAGAAACTTCTGCCCATGAAAAATCTTTCATGTTAGAAGTGTTGTTTATAACCCTTAATGTTGAATCAAGAACTGAGCTGAATATTCTTAATCGAGAGTGCTCCTGGATATGACCTTTGTGCTTAAACCTTTCATGTTAGAAGTGTTGTTTAGAACCCTTAATGTTGAATCAAGAACTGAGTTGAATATTCTTAATCGAGAGTGCTCCCGGATATGACATTTGGAGTACAATTAACCATAGAAACTTTTGTCCATGAAAAACCTAGTTCCCAATAACCAAAAAACTCTATTTGGTCTCCCATGCCCTTCAGGGGAAATCTGTTTAATATATTTTCAATCAGTTTTCATTATTTTTCTCATATTCGTGTTAAAATTTGATCTTTATCACCCAATAACCTCAATTCTAACTCTAAAATAGAAGACTATCAAAACCTGCACAAATTATGTTCATAAATTGCAGAAAAAATATGTTCTCTAAGTATTGTTAACTATTGAAGATGTTATGAATGCATAACTTCATTGAACCATAATTTGGAAATATAACTTCTTAGAACCAAACAAAAAAGTTTCATATTCTATCGAAGTTCATGTTATTATAAAGTGGATACTTTCATGCAAAAAAAAAAAAAAAAAACACACGAACGCACTTAAAAAACTCCATATCTCATATTCTTATAAGACATATGGTTTACTTTAAATGTTTTCCGACAATAAAGCCATTACACTATTGATTCGCAACTATGTTTTTCTTTCAAATAACAGAAAACTAAGAACCAATAAACACAATAATAAGCGTAGCATAGAGCAAATACCAATTTTATGTGCAAGAATACCTTAACAGGAATAATCAGAAAATTGCATAAACCCAAACCAAATTACTGACAACTAAGATAAGCCTCATGACTACCATAGAGCATAAGTTTACCATAAATAAGTTACAAGAAGTGCTGGTACTGGTCAATTTCAACTACAGTTAATTCAATATTTCAGTCATAAAAGTTGACATTACCTTGATTTGGTTGAAGAATATTGGTCCATTTCAGTTATCTTAGCGACCTCATCAATCTGTTTGGCTTCTTCAGTATTCAATATCTAAAAAGCGTTATAGGAGGAACGAGGAAAAATGCCAAACTTCTATCAAATGATGATTAAATTTCAACAAGCACCTAGAAGTTACAGTGTAGTAGAGAGCAACTCCGCAAACAAATTCTACCTCATTAAAAATTGCAACACATATTTGCCTGCTTTGCTACTGTAAATAAACTACACAATGTTACTTTGGAAGTCTAGGTCAGGTAAAAGTGTTTCAAGGTTGAAGAAGCACAGAGTACCTATCAAATAGCATTAATTTTATAAAACTTGAAGTTCTGGACTACCAATATGATCTAGTAGCAATTAGTAATAAGTAATTAAAAAACTTCATGATTTCAGCTGAAGTTTCTGAAACATGCAACTAATGAAAACTGAATAATAAGTTCTGGACTACCAATATGATCTAGTAGTAATTAGTAATAAGTAATAAAAAGACTTCATGATTTCAGCCGAAGTTCTGAAACTTGCAACTAATGAAGACTGAAGAAGGCAAATCGTAATTTTTTTTCAATATCGCAATAAACTCTAACAGGAGTAGGAATTCGAATACTTAACATATTTGTAAACCATCTTAGGTCAAATGGAACAGCATAAAACAGATAAAAGCATATTTTATATACAATTAAGACAATTAAAAGTCAAAACTCAAATAAGACACTTACAAACTCTAAATTCTTTAATTGCATGTTGTTGGGAAGTAAAATCACGCAATGAAACAAACAAGAAAAAAAAAATACAGTGAAGAAAAAGAACAACAGAATTTAATGTGTAAAAACCCAAAACTGGAAAAAAACCACAGAACCACGCCACACCAAGAAATCCATTATGAAAATTGAGATAAATAGTATAGATCTCTCTTTCCACACTCTCTTTGTCTCTTTTCACTTTACACATAGTTATTACTTCAAAACATATAAGAGATGCACTTAAAAACATCCAAAAAATGCAACCCTTAATTGAAATAAGAAAAAGAGGGAAGAAAAACTGCTCAGTTAGACTCACAGTGCCGCCACACTGGAGTTTGGAGTGCACAACTCTCCACTCTCTGTCTCCAACCCGACTGTAGGGCCACGGTGTTGGGGGTTGGAACGTTGGAGTGCTCCACTCTATGTCACCAACCTTAGCTTGTAGTGCTACAACGCTCTAGCATACAATGCCGCGAGGTTGTACTTAAAAAAAAAAATTTCAAGGGCACAGTGAGCTCCTTGTCGAGCTCGACCAATGGGATTGAGGTTTGAGTCAATAGTACAATCTTACTGATCGATAAAATCATATTCCACATAAAATTAGCACGTGTCGCACTATAGGGCTAGTAACTTTGCAAATGAGAGTCTATAGGCTCCTCTTTTGGTGCAAAAAGTTAAAACCTCCACACATGCATGTGTTCTCAACTCATGTAGCTTCAAAAAAAGCTCTAAAATTAAATAATCATGGCATTATGAACATTAACATTGACACTAGATAATCCTTCTAAGTGGTTAGTATTTATTAAACACCACAAGTCAATCTTCTTTGCTCAAGTAGCTAAGATAATTTATTAAATAGCACAAGCTTTCATAGAATATACATGGTAGCTTCTCATGTATAAAGATTGCCTGCAAGATCAGATGCATGCATAGGAAAGTTGTTGAATCCTTCTTCAAACAACTCAAATATGGTGAACATCTCGATACACAAACACCGCAATAATCTACCTACACACCACTCTCATATGTGTCTATAGCATAGGAGCGTCAAAAAAAATTTGATGAAGCATTTGTACACCAATTGTAAGAAGGATAACTATACAAAGACACACAAAAGCCACAAAAATCTACCCACACACTACATACTTATTGGCTATCATATGGAACACTCAACCTTACACAGAAAATTAAGAACATATAAAAATTACAGGCGTAGTCAAAGATATTAGGGATGAAATGCACCTCAGATGATTCTTCCATGATGCTTTTCCCCTCTTTCGCTTTTCCATTGGAACTAACCTGAGAACTCAAATCTGAAACGCATTCAGATGAAATATATTTCTTCAAAGCGCTGCTATCTGTCAGAAAACTTTCAGTAGTTCTAAGGCAATAATCCATTGATACTTCTGTACCAGCGATGTCTCTCACTTGCGGAGTTTCAGCTTCTTCCTGTGATACAGGTCCTGAAGCAAGGGGAAGTGCATTACTTGAGCCCCCACTCAGCTCCCTTTCAGCACCAGCCCCTCTCTCCTTGTCAACATCCTGCAAAATTTCATCAGGCCGTAAAGAGACTACAATAATCTCGCTCTCAACCTCGTTGGGCTGCAGCATTTTCAATTCTGCCGAACCAGAACTGAGGTCTTCTCCAGATTGAGAAGTTACAATGGATTCCGCAGCCAACAAACTGACTTCAAAATCAGAGGCCTCGGATACCAGCGCTCCATCCAGTAAATCAGAAATGCTCTCTTCTAGGACAGCCACTCTGGGATACACTTCAGTATCTTTTGACAGCTTCTCCCCAGCATCTGAAACATGCGTCCCCACGTCGCTTTCCACTTTTTCTATTGACGTACGAAAACCTACAGAACTTGTCCTGAATTCATCGCCACTGCTGCCGCCCTCATCAAACGCAGGGCAAGATTCAGATCCCCTCCTCTCAAGTCCAGAACTTTCTTCCCTTTGTTCTGACATTTCACCATTAGGAAACCTCCTCGGCTCCATCTCCTCCACCAAACCCCTCCCTGTAACCTTCGCGGCATCTCCAAACCGGAAGACCACGCTTCCGTCAGAGTATTCTACCGAAGCCACCAAAGCCAGCCCAGTCAATAACACAAACAAAAATAAGACGCACAGCGAAGCATGATCCATAGCTCAGTAAGTAAAGGGGAGGCTGCAGTACCGGAGGTAGATAAGATATCGACGCTCGGCGGAGCAGCGGGTCTGTCCGTGGCGGAGATGGTTTGGGCAGCCCTTCTCCGTCCCTCAGGCGACAAGCAGGAAGTGAAACGGCGGCTTTGTGCAGATGTTGACTGCGACCGGAGCTTGAAGGAGGGAGGGTTGATGCGGGCAAAGGGGATATCGGCCATTAAGGGGGTGGTGGATGTGGTTGAGAGCTCTGCAAGAATTCAGTTGCATTCTATATTGAGATAAGAGAACGCGATAGAAAGAGGAAATGCAAGCGATGAGCCTGAAGAAAATTTTTAAGGATATTTCAGCTCCACAGTTTTAAAACAGAAATTTGAGTTTGCATGCTCGAAACATGGAACATATTTCTCAATAAAAGTTCAATATCGAGTACGGAGTTGTACCGAGTTTTTTCAAAAAAACTCGGTATTGCGCTGTTTTGATCTAAAATCGAACTTAGAGAAGCGTACGTTCACTGGATGTAATAAAAGTTTCGAAATATGAGAAGTATATTCTCTTTTTTTATTTTTTATTGAGAAATATGTGTAAAAATTTTCACTGAATTAAAATATGTCAGTTTTAGATGGAAGACCTTTTTTTTAAGTTTGTTCCTTCAAAAATTATTTCAAATAATGCTCCAATAAGATTTCCAATAAGATTTGAATATATGTGATAAAAAAATGGTCAATGATAAATATTTTGTTTAGGGCAGCTTCTTTATTTTTCAACCATTAATCATATTTTATATTTGATCTTTATTTTACTGCTTTTAATTAAAAAAAAAACAGCATAATTCTTATTCAAAAAAAGAATTCAATCAAATTTCAAACATAATTCGAATAAAATGTTAAAAAATTAATAGAATAGTTGCATAAAGTTTATTTGTTGTTTGAATAAAATTCGAACTTGTTGTATAACAAAGTAGCATACTACAATCCTGACAACTATAATACAATAAAACAAATACGATAGAAGATAGGATTTTTTTAAGAAGCATTATATTTATTGTAAGCTAGAAAATTCATGGCGGACGAGTAAGAGCATATTATGTCTTAACTTTGCATGAAGATCTAACACCCAAATAGATAATTAAAAAAAAAAAAAAACACACACACACACACATCAGTGACATAAAAGTTTTTATGTGAAAATCCAAAAAGAGAAAAAACATTGAGGTCAAACTTAGATAAAATGATTCAACTATGTAAGCATTGATTACAAAAATTATCAATCCCTTAAATTAGAGACGACAATATTACATGAGTATGAAGATTTTGTAAAAAATATGATAAAGTCGGTATAAGAAAAAGGCATTTGGACGGTTGTGATTGAGTGACAACGATATAATAATGTTGGTCTTGTGGTTATGGCTCAACAATAGCGATCATTATTCGATAGTGGTCCAACAATGGCAGTCGGGTGGTTAAACTCCAGCGACAATGATTGGCTGGTGGTTCTGACAATGGTGATCAATCGTCAAAGGTTTGATAGTGGCAATAGAGGAACAACGGTCTAACTATGATGGTTCGATGTTGGTAGTTGGGCATTTACAATTCGTCAATGACGTTTATGCTGTGAAACCCTTAAATTTTCAATTTATGTTTGAAAAAAAAAATTTGTGATGTTAGTACGGGACGAACCGTCTGGACGAACTGAAGAAATGTTGAAAATATGTATGGTTAGTACGGACGAATTGCCAGTACGAACAGAGAAAATATGCACGTTCGTCTGGACGAACCTGGAACCGTCGGGACGAACCGAATAGAGAGCATCGTCCAGGGACGAAGAAAATTGGAATTAATTTTTGTTTGAACGATTAGAGTCCAGAGGAGGTCGTCCCGGGACGATTGGACATCGTCATAGACGATCCTGCTTGATAAATATCTGAATAGTGTCGATTTTGAAGGGAACGCAAGCCGAGGAGAGAGAAAAACGAAGGGAGAAGAAGAAAATTCACGTTTTGGGCGACTTCGGTCCGTTTTCGTCCGTCGTCGTAGTTGGAAAAGTTGACCGACTCGAGATAAGGCACATTATGCCTTTCTCAATTTTTCAGAAATATGATTTTTGACGGATTTTCTATTTCAAGTTCATTTTTCGTTAGCGAAAAACTGGTATAACTTTGCACCGGTAAAACTTTTACTGCGTAATTTTTGGTTTGTTTCTGAGATGATGTTTTTGCACGTTTTGAGTATTTTCTGGAAGATTTTTATCGGGTATTTTGAATTCTGCTGTGTTTTAATCGAATTACGAATTATCTGGATGTTGAAAAATGTTGCTTCAGTACAATGAAAGTCTTATAATGTTGATGCGTATATTCTGTGATAATTTGGTAAATTCTGAATTTGTGAATTTTGTAAAAATTCCATATACTGTTGTTATGCCGCTGACGAATTTTCTGAAGTATTCGATTTTTCTGATTTGAATGCTTTGATGTGATGTGACATCAGAAGGGAGTTATAAGTGGCCGGAATCCTTTGTGATTCCGTTGTCTGGGTCCGTGAAATCTGAAAAATAAGTTTTGTTCTGAAAATTCTGTATATCTATTCTGTTCTAATACTTTAAGCACAAAAGGAGACATAAGGAGCCAGAATCCGTTGAGATTCTGTCTGTGTCAGGGAAGGGAGGCATAAGGGGCCAGAATCCATTGAGATTCTGTCTGTGTCAGGGAAGGGAGACATAAGGGGCCAGAATCCGTAGATATTCTGTCAGGTTCGGGGGATCTGATATGTGAAATACGTATTATATGATTTTATCCGATTTGACCATGTGCTTATGATTTGTACGGATTTGTATGATTCTGTCTGTTCTGTAATTTAAAGATGATTCTGATTTGAATATTCTGCTATATGAATTCAGTTCTTCTGTATATGTATTCTGTCTGCTTATATGCGTATTTGAATTCTGTACGGATACTCTTCAGATGTATTTTAGTTGTGTGTTTCTGGAGATTTTGATTGGCTGGTGTAGTCTTGCCGAGCTGTTAGCTCATTCTTGTTTCTGCGTGGTTTTCAGGTTCTGGGAAAGGGAAGGTGGTCTTGGACTAGCCGTTTTGTGTCTGATCTGAGATTAGGTATTTTGTACTTATGATTTTGTACAGTCATGACTTTTCTGTTCTGTTCTTTCTGTCTGTAGCCATGCACTGTATTGTACATGATTCTTTTGATGAAAGAAGAAAATATGGATGGACTGTTCTGTATATTTGGATGTTTATATTAGCTCTGTGTTTTTGTATGTTTGCTATTTGGAAGAAAGTCTGACGCAAATTCTAAAGCTAGATCCTGGATTTTCAATATTTTTGTCGCGGCCCGACGCGAAACTATTCGTTCCGGTCGGGTTGGATCGTGACATATGCGATGTGCCAATGGCAGTGGTCTTACACGAGGTGGTTAAAAGATGAAGGTCCATGACTTGAATCGAGCGTCAAATGTCCAACGGTGGTAGCGAGGAGGCAAAGTTTTGGTGGCGGCAATCGAGCAACGAAGGTTTGATAATGATACTACTCTGGTGGAGTTCCGAGATTCTTCAAACATTTGAGTTCTTTAAATCTCTAACTAATGATCATCTTCATGCAAAGGGACAAGGTCTATTTATATACTTTTAAGAAGGACATGCCCCATAAATGTAGAAAAAATTCAAAACTCTCTATTGGACGACCCATATTAATTACTTTGATTATTGAGCATTCATTCAACATTTAAGCGCCTTAATATTGTTAGAATTAAGTATATTAAACTTGTCGGATTAGTCCTATCTAGACACTTGATTTTATTATAAATATGCAAGATTTAGAAATCATTTGGTAAACCAATTAATATTATGAAGTTTCTAATTACACTTCAAGAGCTTGATCCTAAGCTTATTCGAAGTTGAATTAGATCACTTTTTATTTTAGGGATTTTTACATACATAACACCTAAAACTGTTGAAAATACATATCTAACATCTAAACATTAGTATTTACTTATCTACCACCTAAATTCTCCCTCTCCTTCAATTCTACCACTCTGTTTATCCGCACCTGCACGTCGTCATCTATTCGTTCACGCGAACGAACAGAACAACCCTTCAGCAAATCAGAATAACTCAAAGGAGCTCATCGTCGGCAGTGTTGACACAGGCTTCTCATGTGTCATCTTCCGTTCATCATCAGAAAATCTCCACGCATCGTCTTCCGTTAAGCTATTGCTCCGGCACGAATTCCATAACGACGAAGATGCGAGATCGAGTGGCCATCACCTCCTTGAGCTCGATGACGTTGGGGTGGCCGACGAGGCTCATGATGGAGATCTCGCGTTGAATTTGTGCGGACAAGCAGGATTCTCGCCGGATTTGATCCTTGCTGATGACTTTGATAGCGACACTTTCGCCGGAGCGAAGATCTCGGCCGTGGTACACCTTAGCAAAAGTGCCTTGACCTAATAGTCGGCCCATCTCGTACTTGCCGAACAAAACTTTTGGCATCAGCAGCAAATAATAGCCGAATATCACCAGCCCCTGCCCTCTAATGACCTGCGGTGTTCAAAATATAAAATCTGCAATTTTCAAAATTCCGCCTACTGCTAGAAGAACCAAACACCAGCAGCTTGAAGACTTGCAGTTCGCAGATCAACCAACCTTCCGTCAACCTATACATTAGCAATTTCAACAAACAACGACCATCCATGCCACCTCTTGCTATTTTTTTATTCCTTTAGAAGATTACATCAAGTTCTCTGTTTTCTTGTCTTTCTTGTTGTCATCTCATTTTTAATAAACATATTGCACTTGTGTTTTTTTAATTTGGATACAAGAACCAATTCTTTTTTTTTATCAAGAATTACAATTTTTTTTAAATCTTGTCAGGATCGGAAGTGGCGGTGGGAGTCACTGGCGGTAAGGAATCCTCATCGGTTGCCATCGTGTTAAGCGATGTCTGCGATTTGGTTGACGATTGGGGGGAGAGGAAGAAGGGAGTGAAATTAAAATGTGGGAGGGGAAACGGTGGGCGTCGCCGGAGAGTGGGGGTAGGGCTTCATAGGTTTCCGGTGGGCGAATGGACGACGTGCATGTGCGGATAAACGGAGTGGTAGAATTGAAGGAGATGGAGAATTTAGGTGGTAGATAAGTAAATACTAATATTTAGGTGTTAGATATGTATTTTCAACAGTTTTAGGTGTTATATATGTAAAAAACCCTTTATTTTATAGGTTCATATCATAAAGATATTTGATTTAACTATATGTTTGCTGAAATCAAATTTTAGATAGTCCTAACTTTAATTTTAGAAGTCTTTAATTCAAATATGAGTCTAGATTTTTGCCTGGTCAAGATAATTTGCAATGAGATATCAAT